TTACTCTTTTTATTTTCCATTTTAAGTAAATTAAATCAAATTAATTACGTTTTGTTACAATTTAAAGATAGATACCTAATATTATAAAATTCAAGTTTAAAAAAAAAAAATTTGACACCGAATACATACAATAATAGAAATAAATATTTTATTATTATACTTAATAGTTAACAAGATATATAAAATAAATACCTACAATTTTACTATGGATAAACTATATAGATACATCATTATAGACTAAAATTAATCGTACAACGCATGATAGGTATTATGAATTTTACATAATATTTTAAAATCTACAATGTTTTCTTACTTAACCGAAACCTATAACCTATTTAATCATAAAGTGAAATCAGCCATTACAACAATTTATTATAATAATATTTTTGAATATATGACATAATGTCTCAAAACAATTTAAATATTACAATTATTTTTAGATTCTGAGTGAAACGATGAATGTATTGATTTTACAATGATGTGTGTTTTTTTTTTTATTTTTTTATTTTTTTTTTTTTGTGTCTGTGTACACGATAAGTAGTCGAAATAATGCTTCGATTTTCGACTTCAGTATCTTGTTCGATTGGAAAGTGAATATCGTTGGTGCATTGGGGAGGTCAAAATTTAAAATTCCCAATAGTTTTCACAAGCGCCGGGAAAAACAACATAAAAATTAAGGAAAAACGGGAATTTTTACGCAAAATCAGTTTTTGACAAAATCGAATTTGGTTTTTGGTGTAACTTTAAAACAAATGACCGTAGATACATGAAATTTTCACTGGTTGTTTATATTTGCATTTTCTATACACGATAAAATTTTCAAAATATTTTGATTTATTTTGAACTGTTTAGGGACATTTTCATTTTCCATTTTTTTTTAGTTTTTTTTCTAAAAATATCAATAAAATTTTATTTGTTGGTTGCGAAAGCATGAAAATTTAATAGAAGGCTCCTAATATGTTGTTTCAAAGGCAGATGAAAAATATTAAAAATCCTTAGTCACAATTTTTTTTTATAAGCATTTAAAGTTCAAAAATTGACAAAATATGGAAAAATCACGAAAATTAGCAAATTATTTTGAGTTAAGAATTCGTAAAAATTTTTCTTTTTAAATCTAAGATTTGAAAATGAAACACAAGATTCCTTATAAGATTATCTACCTTTATCAATAAAAAAATCTCTACCGGACAATCAAATTAAATTTTTATGAGCGTTTGAAATTCAAATTTTTACAACATTGGATTTTCACTCGATTACTCATGTAGCGATTTCCTTATTTTGTTGCAATTCAAAAACGAACAACTGTAGATACATGAAAATTTCACTGAATGTTTAAATTAGCATTTTCTATACACCATACAATTTTGAAAATATTTTGACTCTTTTTGAGCTGTTTATGGACATTTACAGCTTTCAATTTTTTTTAGTTTTTTTTTCTACAAATATCAATAAAGTTTTATCTGTTGGGCCAAAAAGTGTAAAAATTTAATACAAGGCTCCTGATATATTGTTACAATAGCAGTTGAAAAATATTAAAAATACATAGGCAAAATTTTTTTTTATAAGCATTTAAAGATCAAATTTTGACAAAATTTATCAAAATCTCAAAAATTATCAATCATTGTAATTAATAAATTATAAAATGTTCAGTTTTTATAGCTAAGGATTACAAATTCAACACAAAGGTTCTCATAAATAGTTCATACTATAACCAAAAAATCCAAAAAATATATGAACACAGTTATTTTTTACAGACATTTTAAATTCAAATTTGGACGAAATTACATATTAAAAAACCTAGAATAACTATTTTAGTTATTTTGTTGTGATTGAATAATATTATTCGTGGGTACTTGAAACTTCTAAAGTGTACTATTATATATCTATGATAGTATCACGGTTTTTGTTGATGTATAACGCGTTATAAGTACCTAATGGATATTGTGATATGATTAATTTGGAATTCATTATAGGTCAATTTTTTTAATACCATAGACAGGGTTGGGCAAGATACTCAAAAAAAAGTATCATGATACATGATACATGATACATACATTTTGTGTATCAAGATACAAGATACAAGATACATTGTGAATGTAGAAAAGATACAAGATACAAGATACATGTATCTTTGATACATCAAAGATACATGATACTTTTATATTTCCAATCAAATTTTATTAATTATTAAACGTAAAACGTCTATACACAATTCACTATACCGTCTATACATAATAAATACATAATATTATTATTATACCTACATAATAATAGTATTTATAAATACTTATAAAGTCATAATTATATCAAATAATATAATAAGTCAATAGGTACACTGTACACATTATAATATAATAAGTCAATAGGTACACATTATACATTTATAACTAATACATCACATTGCCCGTAAACGGGCAGTTGACACAGTGACACAGTAACACTACCAGGGTTGGACTAGCCCACCGGGATACCGGGAAATTTCCCGGTGGGCCGCAGCAAAAAGGGGCCGTACTGGCGTACCGCCGTAACTATTAATAAATTATATTGGACCGCGAGTCCATGGTGGTTATCTTAATTTGATAAAAAAAAATTTATTTCAATCGTTATTTTATGGAATTTAATATTTAAATCAATTTAAATTGTTAAAAGGACAGAAATAATTATTGTATTATTATGAACAAAATTAAACTACCTAGTAGATGAAATTAATAATTTGATCCCGGATAATTTGCTAAATGTGCGGATACGTTAGAAAAAAACATTGTATGGTGAGAACCAAAATGAAACTGTTACTGAAACTGCTATTGACTTGTTTAAATTTAATGTTCATAACACAGCGATGGATACAGTGATTTGTAAACTAGAACAACGTTTTGCTAAACACGCTGAAATATGTTCAGATTTTACATGCTTAGATCCTCGTCAATTTTCAAAACCATTGCCCACAACTGCTCTTTTCAAACTTAGTAAAGTTCTTCGATTAGAAAATACTTCTATTTTAAGGGAAGAATTTCTAGATTTTACCAAAAAATGGGATAAGCTTAAATTAAATTTACCTGAAGTATATGCAAGTTATAGAAGTGATGAGGAAAATGAACTTCCAGAATTAGATTTAGAATGTTTGCAAGAAAATGAGTTTGAACAAAACCTATGCAAAACAAATATACGGTGTTTAAAATGTTTTCTTTGCTGTTTTAATGTATTATTTAAATATAGATTATATGTTAAAGCATATAGCAATTTATTTTTAGCCTATATGTATATTTCAACACTATCATGCACTCAGGTAGGCTGTGAAAAGAGTTTTTCTACCTTAAGTTTTATTAAAAACCTACTTAAAAACCGTCTATCGATGGAAAATCTGGATGCATGAATGTTAATGCATTTAAATAAAGATATTTTGGAAACATTAACATATGAAAACATTATTGAGGAAGTGATAAAACATAGCTCAGTATTCAAAAAAATGTTGGTTGTTTAAAAATATATATTACCTACCTACCTTTACAAAGAATTATTATTATTTTTATTAAATAATTTATGTATTCTGCTTTGATGAAATTTTTCATATTTTGTTTGACAATGTATTTATATTAATTGTTTTTTTATTATATTATATTTAAAAAAAAATAACTCATGACAAAGGCTAGTCATACACCTAACACAATATATTTTTTTTCTTGTAAGGGGGAGCTTATATTTATTTCCTTCTTATAAATTATATTTTTAGATAATTCACTATTAACTAACATTTTTTTTTATAATAGAGCTTGTCCCCTTAGGTTCAACTACGTGGCTGGTCAAAAGAAGCAGGGCCGCCAAAAAATAGAATTTCCCGGTACACATTTTGGGGCTAGTCCAACCCTGAACACTACAGACGACAGAACGAATAGAATGGTACAACAACGTGAATAGTATTCTGTAATTGCTTATCTTTACTTTTGATTTTATTTTCTATTTTATGTGGAAATACCTAAACGGTTACACTCATATCTAGGCAGCGGATTCATATTTTATGAGACTATTGATTATTGACACGGTCTGCGTGTGGGCTACGGTCATACGGGCGCCTTAATTTAATTTTATGTTTATCAGATTATCTTAAATTTATAAGATTGTGTGGTACATTTTTTCGCTATCGTTAATATTTCGGCTGGATTGCACCTGGACAATATTTTTCGTACAAATACAATCCGCGACGAAATTATTTTTACAATAATAGTATCTTGTATCTTTTGGCAAAAAAAGATACATGATACTAGTATAAAATGTATCAAGATACATGATACTTGATACTGTAAAATTATGTATCATGATACAAGATACAAGATACAATTGTATCTTTGATACGTATCTTTGATACATGTATCTTTGATACTGCCCAACCCTGACCATAGATAAGTATATAATAATATGTCTTATACATACACTGACATACCGTCACCGCTCAGAATCGTTTTTCTTATACAATGATATTATATCATTGAATTCAAATTTAATACCATCCATTATACAGTGACCCACTTGTAACCTACTGTACAGCAGAGCGACACCCACTTTTTTACTATGGAAGTATTATAATAAAATATAAAACCTATGTGGAAACCCTCAAAAGTGTTAATTTCCATATTTTTTGTAATAGTTGACTGTACTCATAAACATAGAAAACATGATTCTGTGTAGATGCGTTTTGTCTATGTTACGCGAGCGCCTAACACGAAACAAATATTCCCTGATATTCTCTTAATTTTATCTTTAAGGACCTAATTCAGTATTTAAGTACGGAGATTAGTTTTTTAGATATGTATTACTTATGCCGGATTTCATATGTTCACAATCACTAAACATTTAACGAGTGAATAGTGAGCAAACGGTCCCTTTTAAACTTGATTTAGCGGCCCATAAATTAATACATATTTCATGGAACTCAATCGGCATTAGTATTTAGATTTTTCAATAGATAAATAATAATTATCAATATTAATATGTTTTTCTTAAAGATGTACGGTAATATTATAATATACGGTGGCGGCAAAGGCGGGCGAAACGGCAAAGGAGGGCGAGGTGGAAAAGGCGGTGAAGGTGGCGACCGCGGCCGTGGTGGTGACCGCAGACGGGGAGGTGCCAGCAGTGGGGCACCCTCCACCAAGAAGTTTAGTGGGAGTAAGTATCAAATATAAGTAAATCATAAATAAAATATTGTTTATTAACTATAATTTTTTTTTAGAATGTGACCTGTGCCACGTAAAGGGGCATAAAGTATTAGCCTGCCCAAAGTTGAGTAAGTTTCAAGTTTTCAACACTGCATTTAATATACGTTTTTTAAAATTCCAAATTAATTAATTTTATGATATTTTAGTTTCTATGATGGCCATTGCAGAAGCGGCCACTTCTCGGCCGGATGTGGTTGATGGAGAGCCCGTGGCTGGTGGCGGTGAAGAGTTGGAGGCCGGTGGAGAGTCGGTGGACGGTGGCGAGACGGTGGACGGTGGCAACTAAAGTTGTAAAATAAACTCTTTAAAAAAAAAATGTTCTATTGTTTTTATTTATTTTCGTACAAAACCCATTTCCTTAGTTATTAGAGCTTACCTAAAACAAAAAAGCAGTAAAATGTTTAAATAGAGTATAAGTTATTAGTTATAATAAAGAGTTATCATGCACCCAATACCCATAATGGTACAATGGTAGGTACCTACTGTACATTGCAAAACACTAACACTGAATAAAAAAAAAACAATGTCAATAAACACAGACACACAGTAGTTGGTAATTATAAGGTGTATGATTTAGAATTTATGAACCTTAAATAAACTAATATATTATGATACAAAAAGATCAATTAATAAAGTGTGTAAGAAACTTAAAAACTTAACAACAAATCGTTATGTAACAAATGGTTTCATTGTTTTAATGTTTTTCATTGAGTTAATTGTTGAAAAATAATTGAATAGTTGTAATGTGATAGTATTATAATAAGGGTTGTAAGTGTACTTGAGCGATTTTTTGATTTTTTTTAAGCTTATATTATTGACACCTAAGATCTAACCACGTAACTACACATAATGCAGTACAATAGAATAAATAGAATATAAGTGGCGCAAATAGGTGGGGGGACTTGAGGGGGCTTAGCCCCCCCAAAAAAAAATCACTCAAAGCCCAAAAAATAATAGTATACCATTCATAAAAGTATGTACCTATAAATTATAATTAAAAAAAAAAATGTTTTAAGGCTTGAGCCCCCAACATTTTTTTCCTATTTGCGCCACTGGACCTTATACTAAGTATCATCAATGTAGTAACTTCCTACATTTTTTTACTTGCTGTTTTGGAAAGTGGGCAGCCAGAAAGCCAGCCCTTTTACAAAAATTATATCAAACACAGTGGCAGAACATACAAGTAATTTTTGAATATTACTTACACGCGCTACAAATTTGGAATAATATTCAAATAAACTTATATAGAATATACCTCATCAGAGAGGGTGAGATGAAGAAATTGCACTTCATGTGAGTTGGTTGAATGTATTTTAACTATTTGATTTATTCATATTATGTATTTATGTGAGATAGTTATGATAAAAAAAAACGTTGATTTTTTAAATAAATGTGTATTTTTATTGGTTTTTAATGATGATACTTTAATTAAGTATTCAATTTAAAACAATTTAATACATTGGACATTAAAAATGCTATCTACCGATAAACTATGGGATTACAAATTGAACACACTTTTTAATTCACAACTTAACTAAAGTTAATTTTTGCCCACATTTGCAGAATCGGAGTATAGGAGTATATTTGATAAAAAAACTTATTATTAATATTAATTATTATGATATACCATAGGCGTGTCTACGGTGGCAGCTTAGGGTGCCTGGGCTGCCCCTGCAATTTTTGAAAGCGGTCAACCGAGTCTTAAGTTAGAAGAGTTACAACATTTTTTTTTTTTTTTTAAACTTGATTTTTTTGTCTAATTACCAATTACCTAGATTGATTTCCTGACTTCCGAAATTGGGAAAAACCTACTATAACGACTTGAGACAGACGACGACGGTAGCGCATCTAGGTATTATTGATATTATTGTTGTATTATTTTTGATTTGTAGCTAGGAGGTGTAATCCAACTATCCAAGGCTGTAGATAAATAATATTTCTGAAGTTACTGTAGATTTTTCCGAAAAAAATTAAATCAGACTTTTTATCACTGTGCTTTTTTTCCGACTCCCAGTTCCGTCCGGCGACCGTCCCAAATAAAAATGTAACTATAGAAACTAGAAAGGTATAATACTAATTGCGTCCCAGGCATAATATTGGTTAGAAACTTATAAATTTAATATTTAAATTAAACAACGAAGCTTATTTGAATGATTGAATAAAAGAAATTTTGAATCAGGTAGTAGCAGATTTCCTTTTTTCAATCAACACAACGTTAAACTGAATATGCTCGTAAATAGATAACATTTATGAAGTATTAAATATTAATTAATTACATGGTGATTTATCACGACGTTTTTGAGTAAAAATGAAAATGAAAAATCAATATTTACAACAGATTAGAACAGGGGCGGAATTAGGGGGGGGGGTGTTTAGCGGGATAGACCCCCCCAAAACCAAATTCCTAAGTACGCCACTGTATTAGAATGTTCGTACGAATATTGTTCTGTAAAACGAACGTGAAGTTCATTACTTAGTAACACAAGTCACAAACACAATATTGAGTATTTAGTATTTACTATTTCGGTCTATTGCCGAATTGCCCACCCACCAGTACCGACCAAAGTGTCAAATAGAATAAAAATTAAAAATAAAAACCCTGACGGCTGAGGGGTAATTCCGTCAAATTATGTGCTATGTAACTATTAATTACCAACGGTTCAGTTTATCCGTGAATTCGCCGCGACCGCAGTCCTCACTCCTCGGGCCACAACCCATTCCCATAGATAGAGTGACAAATGAAAATACAGAAAACAACTAACACATCCACACAGGGCGCACTACCGCGGTACCGGCGAGCGTAGCGTATGCACTTTGCAGAAATTCAGTTATAAAAAAAAAAAAATAGTATTCTTGTCTATGGTTATGTACTATGCAGTATGCAGTATGCACTGCTGCAAGTTGCAACACACTAATATTGTCACATGAATATTTAATATTAATACACCATTACACAAGATATTCGGATCAAATACTGAACTTGAGACCTACACGGCTACACACCATATGGCTATATACCTACATGTTTATTATAATTTTAAGTTTTAAAAGTTAATAATTACACGACTGTTATACGTAATCACGTGCCTAAGTTAATAGTTTGGAGAGCTGCATAACAAAACGTGTAAGTACATAATATTGTATACTATAATAATGATCTTAATATATAATATGGTTTTAAGTAAATATTGTACATGTGTACATACCTATAAAATGCCTACCAATTATTACCTAGATGGGTGTTTTTGATAAAAATAATTAAATTAATTTGTTGACAGTGATAAAATAACTAATCATAAGTGTGATTTTTCGGTAGTCGCTCTACGCTTATAAAAAATATATTACATATTATATTATGACAATGACTCACACCAGTCACACCTGCAAATTGCAATCACACCTAGGTAACTAATTACTAAATAAATATATTCAGTAGGTACCTATCTAATTTATTCTTTTTATTTAATTTATTTTGTTACAGTTTGTTTGATGGATAGAATGCTGTAATAATCATCAATATCAGAGAAGTAATGAATAATATTTTTAAACGCTATATTGATGCAATGAAGTTCCTTAATCCTTACTAAATGAAAATAAACACTACCAGGGTAAGTAATTTAAATTAAATATTTATAATTGTTGTTTAGATTAATCACATTTTAATTTAGATTTGTTTGAATATGAGTTCGTTGGTCAAAACACTTAAATACCGAAAATAATTGTGCAGCATCTGATAGTTGCTTTTGGTAAAGTGGATTGGATTAATGCTCACAATATTTATGTTGGATACATAATGACAATACAAAATAGTATAGTAAGTTTATATATAGTCTATATTATATTTAAGTTTAAGAGTTAAGCATTATAAATTAGCCATAACTACAATTTAACCTGTTACAATGTGTAGTGTCCTAAGCTTGTACCTAATAATAACTAGATAAATACATTCAATATTATCTTCACAATTTGGAGGCGACAAAAAAAATTAATGTTCTATTAACAATTTCTATTTTTGAGTAGAAGGTTTTTAGTATTTTGTATTTTAAAATTACTTTACTACTACCAAAATATATTGTAAAAATAAATAAATATCTATAAGTTTAGTTATTTAGATTCAAATCGTGCAAACTGCAGTATGGATTGAAATTATAAGTATTAATCTGAATGTTGTTGTTATTGTTCATTAACTGTATGGTGTAGTCACCACCCATGGCCACCTTAAGATTTTTTTCTGTTGATTTATTCAATTTATTTATTTAATTTATTCTATATATTCTTTAGATTAATACCTACATAACTGTGATAAATAATACAAGTAGATTAATGAAATTATTAAATGCAAACAAATATGACAGAAACTTGTATTAAAAAAACAAATTACGTAATCTGAATAAATATATAAATAAAATCAACAATTTTTTAACAATATTATAAAATTAATAATCAACACTTGGTAATATTTAAGAGATAGATCTATGGGTTTTAAAATAAATAGAGTTTCATCAATACCACCTATATAAATTCAGAAGTACACATTTTTAATTCTTAAGATTTTGTTAAGTGATGAATGAAAAAATGACAAACAAGATATTGGAAAATATTATAACAATGTTCTCAACTTTTTTTTAATACTTTTTATCACCCATTTAATACATTGGTGTTGATGAATACAACAATAACCATAGTATCAAAAAAAAACGAAAAAATTACACTATTTTCAAATAAAATATAAATGACTGACCAGTGGCTATAGGTGGCGACTCCACCATACAAAAATAATATTATACTTTGGTATAAGTTATTAGAACTTCTGAAACAAACAATAATTATTAATTAATATTGGAAATATTAGAATATTAGAATCTTTTTTTTTATAGAATTCAACAAAATCAACAATGTCATTAATAGTTTTGTTTTTATTAATATCAATAAAATATGTTAAAACAAAATAAATATTCAAATTTTAGAAAACAAATTAGATAACAACCCTTAATGTTACATACATAAGCGTGTGCACGGGATGGGCTTGTTCATGGGCTATTCAGTGGTATAAGAATTCTGATTTTTGATTGTCCTATATCAACAAAATTAACAAGATTCTCTTAAATCTATAAAATATGCAAACAAAAAATGGTTCTATTTAATCGAGGATAAGATAAATTTTGGACATTATATCACAACCAATCAATTTGGACTTAAGGAATATAATATGCAAATGCATATAAATCCTAGCCCTACTCATGACTAGAAATATATATATTATACCTTAAAATTTAAACAGAATAGATAACAGTGTAACACTTAAAATATTTTTTTTCAAGTATCATTGGCCCACCCTGCCACTACGGGTTGCGCACACCTATGGTTACATACATGTATTAATCTTTGAGATGTTGAGCATATTATATAAAGCCTTTTTCAGTTTAATAAACAAATTAATATAGGTATACCAAAATAATAATGTAAAATGATCTCATTATGGGCAACAACAACTTTCATAAGTTGTTATCCTAAAATGACGTTATAGTTCACGTGTTGTCTCATCAAACAAACTAGTTATTAATATCATGTTAGTATTCCCTAACAAGTATAATAATGCATAATTTGTGACTTTTAGTGTCATAAAATAATATGCATTTTAAAAGGTATTATTCATCAGTATTATATTACAAAATTACATTTATTTTTGTAAAGTATTAATTTTAAAATTATTTTCAGCTTATGTAATTTGAGATTGGATAGTAAAATTACAAGCTGTATGGATGGATCAGAGTCAAATATTGTTTAATGGGATATGTGCAGAACTTGTGAATTGTTGTTCCTTTTTTCTGTGGTCAAATACATCAAGTCACAATGTCACATTATCCATCATATCATATCCTTTTAATAATAACAAAATCATACATTATCATAATATACTATTGTTACAAATGCTATGAATTAACTAATGTTAATTCTGTCTATGAACACAGCTGGTAGAACATGCAATATGTTTTAGTTATAAATTAGTATTCTATAGTTATTTGACTGTAAAATCTCAATAAGTAACGGAAAACAATTACTTTATATCAATTGTATGTTCATTAACTTTGTGTTTTAAGTATAATCAAAGAACTAAATTGAATTTTAATAATATTTTAATAAAAATTATGCCTGGACTTTGAGTTGAATGGGCATATTTATGAACAGAACCGTAGCAGGGTTTATCAAAAAATTTAACGGTAAAAATATTTTGACATGAAAACAAAATAAGACTGAAATTGTGAAATGTAATAAAATTAAAAACAAAATAAATTAACTTAACTTACTTCTTAAAATGAAAAATTAATTCATACATAAGTGTGTGACTCTGTATGGTGAAGATTTTCGTAAATTGCAAAACAACACCTGGTTAAATGGAACTGTGATTGACGCACTGCTATTGATTTATGTGAATAATGAAATTGGTTATATTCCTGCGGAAATAAGCAATACAATTTGGTCAAGTACCAAAGTTAAAGTAGCCAAATTTGATTGGACTAAATACTGTGTGTTATTTCTACCTATCAATCCTGAAGGTAATCATTGGACTTTATTTATTATGGACTTCATTTTGGGTTGTGTATTTTACTTTGATCCTCTGCGTCCAGAATCAGGTGACTTGTACTTACCTCGATTAAAAGAAATGTTGTTTTCAATGTGTGGTAATGGAAAAGCAAAATATTTGCTGCATAAAATGGTTCTTAAAAATATTGAGTATCCTTTACAGAATGATAGTAACAGTTGTGGAGTGTTTGTGTTGTATTATTGTAGTACATACAATCCAATGTTTACTCAGAGCTTTTCAAAGGAAGTTAATGTGAGTGATTTAAGAAATACATTGCAGAATCGATGTTTAATGTACTCTGATAATATCAGTGAAAGATGCCTTATGTGTGCACAAAATATAAAAGTAAGTTTTACTTGGATTAAGTGCAATACATGTGAGCGAAGAGTTCATAATGTGTGTGTAGGTGGTGTATGCTGCAAATTTATGACTAAGGAATTGAAAAATGAAAACTTCACTTGTATCTTATGCAATAAGTATATTAATTAAGTAGGTACCTATTTTATAATTACAAAATAATAAAGTACAAAATAAAAACTAATATAAAATAAAGATAAACAAACTAATACAATTCCTATTGTAAGTAATGAATGGTTGGTTACATAAGTTGGGTGTAATTTATAAATTACACGTAGAGTAAAATGGAATCTATTACCTAACATAAAATTGGGTACCTATGTAACTAAGTCATATCTTTAAAAGTGGGAATTAACTAGGTAGGTAGTAAAAATGTTTAAATTAAAAAAAAAAGTTAATAGTTTTAAAATTAACTTAAATTCAGAATGTAACCAGTTAAATTTATTATTTATTAACTATCAACTTTTGAGTTAGAACAATCTTGTGTTCACTTAACTTAGGTTATCTTGAGTTAATTATATTCATTAACATGCCCACAATTGCAAATCTTAGTGTTAACTCCACCATTGACGGTCCTCAGTCCGTATGAAAAAGGAGGAAGGGCGCTTTAAAGACATTTTTATTTTTTAATTGAAGTATTAAAAATTAATCATGCCTCTCGTGGTTTTAAAGTAATGTATTATTCTTTTAAATTGTTTTTAAATCTTAATATTATTTTCTATATTGTGTTTTTTTTTATTTTGAAGGGTATACCATACTGCCATTGTCCAACTGTGAAGAAGTAGGTAGCCAATTTTAATAGTGCAGATCTTCGAAGACCAGGATGTGTAGACGTGTATTGGAAAATGGCAAAATATACATAGTTCAGACTTTAGAAATTTAGTTAGAGATGATTTATGGAAATTGTATTCATTAATTTTTGGTCATTCAAAGTAGCTTTATGATAAACATTAGTGAAACCCTAATAAATGTATTATCTATCTAATAACTGTATTAAATATAATTAAATAAGATTTTATATTTAACTTATGATTAATACAGCAAATAACTAAATTACTAATTGGTACAATTTGAATATTCCAATTCAAAATTGTTCAAAAAACTTGGTATTTACATTTTTCTAAAACAAATAATAATTTGATAATAATAATAATAATAATAATAATGACACAGTTTAACACTTAAACCATAATAAGGATCAGTGGTGTTCCACAGATTCTGATTTTTTTTTAAACTGTATTCATTACTTTTATAATTTTTAATGACAAATATGTATGTAAACTATTTTGAGCTATTTATGCATTGTTTAATATACTATAAAATGTAAAAACTTATATAAATACTGTTTTATTTTACGGCTGTGTTACACAAAAATGTTATATAATATTAAGTGTTCAGACATTCAAAAAGGTTATGAATATATTAATATTATACATAAAATGTTATATACATTATTATTTATATTATTGGTACTAGAATATTATTACTTTTTTGAGATGTTGATCATGGTTAGTGTAAAAATATAAATTACACTTAAGTAAACGGGGGCTGTGAAGAAAATTAACCGATAGTGTTATACAGTTCATTAGTACATAATATAGTCAGAGTTGTCTATCATAAAGCACTATTAATTGTATGCGTATATTAAATATGCATTTATTATATTGGTATGATTGGTAGTAATTTGTTTTGAATTTAGCAATATAACTTCAGTTATATTTATACGAGATAAATATTTCAATTTTAATGACATTGAACATAAACAATAACGTATAATGATTTATTTCCATATTTAATTATTCAAATAATGAATTGTATATGTAAGATTGTTTATTTAAGTTCAATAAGCCGACATGTATGGCGTAGAGCCTAAGAGAATAATAATGAATAATAAATTAACAATCTTATATAATGCTTACCTGAAACTACCTAAACACATAAATAATACATAAGTATATAGTTTAATATGTTATTACTTTTTGTCTTACCAGTTACTATGTTAAGACTCATAAAACATAATCGACATAATCTAAATACCACATTACCACTGCCTAATAAATATACTAAGTAAAGTAGTACACAATATGATTGGAAATTTATGTCATTATATTATATTCAGTTGCAAGGCCACATCCAGAAATTTTTTTCGGAGGTGGGTCCATAACATGTATATTGTAATTTTATTGAATTTATATGTTTTGATATTTGGTTGAAAATAAGATATTACCCCCCCAGGTACGGCAATGGTCAGTTGTGGAATTGTATTTGTATATATTATAAATATTAAATATTTTTAAATTCAGCGGCCTGCGATAATGTTAATTGTTGTTTATTCCAAGCCAAACTGATATGATATTTTCATCCATGAAAGTGATATAAACCGTTTTTCTAGTGATATAAACCGTTTTTTTTTCTAGTGATATAAACCGTTTTTATTTACTGTCTGGTAAAATATAATAAACTTTGTCCTGGAAACACTGGTATAATATTGGTACCTTCCATTTCTTTGTTATCAATGGAAAATTTGAAAACATTGTGGCGACTATTATTCTAAACCGTGCGACTATTATTGCCGCAACATCTTTGATTATTGATAAACGTAAGAATGCGGCGTTTGTAATTTTGTATAAAAATTAAAAATCTGTTACTGTCTAGTAAGTTATATTCTTATACTTTTCTATGGTGTCTAGTCCTCAAGTCCCTGACCAGTGAGTAGCGTTGTAGTGTGTAGTTCGTGTGTTCACGTCGGACGTGTTTTAAGCCACTTAAAATTCAAATATGAAGCAGAGCAATAATAATCCTCATTTGGAAAAATGCAGAAAACTAGTTCGCACGCATCTCGATTTGGTATATTTGTCAACCGACAACTTGTAGAGTTATATTTCAAATAGATAACAATGTCTTATTTTTTATTAGCAATTATTCTCATCTGCATTATTTTGGGCTGATAAAGCAGCTACTTTAAGTCATTTTGATCCAAGAGACATTTATCAACTAGCTAGTTGCATGTTTTTGTTAAAACAATACCAAAGGGCGGTCATGCTGATAAAAAATAAAGGGTTGGATAAAGTAAGTAAAATTAGGTTACAAATAAATAAATAAATAACTTTTTATATTTGTAACTTTTAATAATTATTATTTTTGTTTTTTTTAAGACTGATATGTTATGTTATTACATGGTCTTAAGATGTTTGGTAGAAGCCAAAGACTACACAGAAGCAGCTAACATTATTAATTCTGAAATAAATCCAACATCATGTAATGTATCACTCCAACAACAAGATATGAAGTCTCATGATGGTTTGACTCATTTTAATGTCAGTATACAATATTAGGTATTTTGTTACTAACTATGCCGGGACACCTCTTTTTTTTGCATTTTTTTTTATTTGTGTTATCAGATATACTGAAAATGATTTTGTAGTAAAAATTGTCATTCGGACTTAGTTTCAATGTTATAATGAAGTCCATGATTTTGCAGTTTAGTGTTATTGCTAATAGGTGTAGGGAGTCATGCTCGTTACCACTTTTCACGGAAGGCGAAGAAGTAACTACTTGTGTTACTTTAACTGGCAAGGTTACGAGAGGTCCGTAGAGTTTTGCGCCCGGACCTGTTGTCTACCCGAAAATAATTTCAAAAATCATTATTAGATCTTATAGTATGGCAGAAAGACTATTAATAGCTATGTAAAATAAAGCATTGTAGAATGCTTCAAAATTGTAAATTAGGAAAGTTCATAAAGTTATACCTATAACTTAAAAACCAAGTTTGACCGACAAATTTTGATTGCACAATCGTTCTTAACTCGTTTAAAAACATATATTTCAAAATAAAAAATTTCATATTTGTTGACAAAAATGATTAATTAATGAACATTTTTATATTATTTAACTATTTTCTGGTCGTGGAGGGGGTGTTACAACCCCTAACCTCCCCACCTTGGTTATAGGCGGGTTAAAGTAGAATGCGTAAGAATTGCAAAACTTCTTTAGGCCATTACTTCGAAACCAAGTCTGGCCACCAAATTCTGACTTAACTAGCATTATTGGTATACATAATAACAAAAAAATTACGAAAAAAAAATTCCAAAAAAAAGATTTTCTGTAAAAAATAAAATTCCCAATTTTATTTTTATAACTAAGAATGACAATTTAAAAAAAAGTTATTTTTTAGGTTCAAAGTGCATTATTTTGTATTAAAGGAAAAATATATGAAGCATTAGATAACAGAAATTTTGCTACTGATTGTTATAGAGAAGCTTTGAGAAATGATGTACATTGTTATGATGCATTTCAAGCTCTTATCCAGCATCAAATGTTGACTTCATTTGAAGGTTGGTAGACAATTATAAACTAAATAAGCATTGTATTTATTATTAATAATTATTAATTTACTTCTAACACAAAATAAAGTTAATGTCTCTTTAGGTGGTGTAATTAACACTACTAATATAGAATATTAGATCTCTATAAGGGTATCATATTTTTATTATGTAATAATAAAATAGATAATGTTTTAAATCAGTAATCTAGCAAAACAATATTTGACTTGACTTGACTTGACTTTTATAGTTAAAAAAAATGTCCCACCAGAATCGTCTATATTTTGAACTCGATTTTAGTTTGGCTATTGTTTAAAAAGTTTGACTTTCCGAATAAACACAAAAATCTAAAGCTGGATTCAATTTTTTAAACTTGGAATGTTTCTAGGTGTCAACACTTATAATATTATATAAGGGTTTTAATCATATATAATAATTATGTTATTTTAAACTGCTTTTAGAACAAATGTTAATTCAGTCATTACCATGGAGTAATCACCCTAATGATTGCATTACAAAACCTTTATATGAAGTGCTATTAAAAAAATACCAAGAACCCAAATTAACTGGACCATTTTCACAATTTGATATACCTGTTGAATTAATAATGGATAATCTGGATATTCAAGAGGCTGAAGCTGAACGACATTATTATGCTTGTGCATACAAAGATTGTTTTCAAATTACTGAAAGTGTTTTAAAACAAGATCCATATCATCCTGAATGTTTACCAATACACATTGCTTGTCTAGTGGAATTGGAAAAATCAAACGGTATGGGATTATAAGTCTACAACTGTTGAATATTTAATTAATTTATCCTATTTCAATTTTTTTTTAGATCTATTTTATTTAGCACACAAATTGGTGGATCTTCAACCAGATCAAGCAATTGCATGGTTTGCTGTTGGGTGTTATTATTATCTTATAGGTATTTGGTAAATTATTTATTTGTGAAATGATAAGTTTTAATTTGTATCAAATTATAGGAAAACGAGATCAAAGTAGAAGATATTTAGGAAAAGCTACTAACCTTGATAACACTTTTGGCCCAGCTTGGTTAGCTTATGGTCATTCATTTGCTGTTGAAAATGAACATGATCAAGCAATGGCAGCTTATTTCAAAGCATCACAACTTTTAAAAGGGTTAGTATTTATTTTTGATTACAAAATAAGTACAGACATATGCATTAGGATTTTTTATATTTTTAGATGTCACTTGCCTCTTCTGTATATTGGTTTGGAGTGTTCGTTAACAAACAACATTATCATGGCTCAAAAGTATTTAAAAGAAGCTTTGGAAATTGCTCCAAACGATCCATTTGTATTACATGAATTAGGAGTTATTGCTTTTCAAAGCCATAGGTATGTTAAATAATTTTATGTTATATTATTATATGTATTAAGAGGATGTGATACCTGCATGTGTTGTCTCCGTCTTACAAGTGCTTATCATAACAAAATTTTACTCTGCAGCTCCCTTTAAATTAAAAATTAGATTAAATTGACCTCTTATAAAATCTAAAGGTAAGATTATTATCTAGACAACCTCATGAGCGTTTTATTATATTTTAATTTTTAAGCTAGTTATGAGTACTTTAAGATCAATAAACAATTTACAATTTTAAAATACTCATAGCTCGCTTAAAAATTAAAATATAATAAAAAGCTCATGAGGTTGTCTAGATAATAATCTTATCTTTAGATTTTATAAGAAGTCAATTTACTCTAATTTTCAAACTAACAGAGCTACACGTGTTTTGCTTTGCGTACAATTTGCTATGTTACGCACTTGTAAGATGGAGACAACACATGCGGGTATCACGTCCTCTTAATGTGTATGTAAAGTTACTACACTGAATTGTATAAACTATAAACTATTTTTAAAATGTACATTGTTTATAACTTAAAAAGTTAGTGCTTGTTTGTGATTACCCCGTAAAAAATGCATCATTAATCATAATTAAGTATTAGTTATTTATTAATACTTATCGGTGTTATTTTGACTCAGCTATATTGCCATTGGCCATTGCTATGGACAAAATGCTTCTTTATTTATGATAACTTGACAATGTATGGGGGAACAGGATCTTATTGAAAATAGTGAAGCCAAAAATCAGGGTCATGGGTTAGACCAACACTGAAAAAATTACTTGTAAATATAATTAATAAACATCATTTATATAAAGTATTTTTTTAATTTTTATTTATTCTTCAAGAAGATAATGGGCCCCACTGAACATATTAGTGTGGGGGCCCATGATAATACAATATTGAATATATTAAAACAAAATTAATTTTGAAAATACTTACTTTTTATTATATAATATTAATTATTAAGGTTTAAAATTAACTAGATCAAACTGTTAATTTACTATAGGTACTCCAAATTATGATATGATTTCTGTACAATTTATATTTTACTAAAAGTATAATTTATATTATGTACCTACCTATAGTGAATTAAATAAATATTTTTAAGCTTTAAAATGTAATTACTTTTACTTTCTTGATTTTTAATCAAGTAAATATGGTAATTGAAATGAAAAAAGTCTGAATTTTGAAAACTTCAAGAATTTGTGTTAAATAGGAAAATAATAAAAATGAAACTCAGTAATGATGAGTAAAGCTTCGATTATACTGAAAGAATTTATTAGCTAATACCTGGTGAATTAACTCGCTGCGACTAAAGTCTCTCAATGTAATCGGTCTAGTTGCTTACTCGCCGCGTATTGAATACTCTGCTCGTCCGCGATTAAAGTTGACGGTTGGGCTACTTTAGTCTCTAATCGCTGGTGTTTTTACACTCCAGAGAGTAAAATCGCTCAATGTAATCACCCCTAGATGGCAAAATCGCTAGTGTGCCTGTAAGTAGTGACTGGTAGCGAGTCAGCGAGTGAATTTAATCTCTCAATGTAATTGCACAGGTCAATAAGTGCTCAAACACGCTTGACTTTGTTCGCCAGCGACTAGTGAGTAAATTCGCTCAGTGTTATTTAATTTCAGGTTTTGGGAATTGTATATGTACTTTTTTTTTTTTTGAAAATAGTTGGCTTTATTTGAAAAATTACAATCTGTACAGTATGTACAATAAGGAATATTAATAATTTAAAAACAGTTGACAATGTATATTCACATGAGGAGGAAATCACACATTTGTGACATCTCTTAAAAATGATATTGACTTAAAATATTAATATAGATATAAATTAAAGACCTATAAGGTACAATAATTACATTTACGTATCTGGCTGTATATGTACTTAAAAATTATATTTTCAAATGAGAACCACCTTTTTATTTTTAAATCAAAATTTTAAGTACATGGTTTTTTTTGAAAATGTTGATGTACCTAGTTCGAAATTCAAAATTAAAGTACTAAGTAAGGTTGATACTATAATCGTGCTTAAAAGTATTAGAAAAACCTTTAATATAGATAAAATGTTTAGATTTAGTCTGCTGCTTATTATACAGTTTTTCTAACTGTAAAGTTTTAATAAATCAATATTATTGAATTTTGAAATCTTCAGACTTTTTTAAAATCCACAGTGCTTTATGTTAAATAACATAAAAATTAGTAGCTTTTTATTAAATTGTTGTTACTAAAAATGAGAAAAATATAAACTGCTTAACTAAAAGGGTTGTCCTTATTTGAACCTAATCTGATTGCAATAAGACACAAATTTAAAAAATCTTAAGTAGTTTCAGTATGGGTTTTTTAATTGTACTTAGAAATCCTTAAAATCAGAATTTGAGTAAATGCTGTTGATTAAAAATTTACTTGCTTTAATGTTTAACAGAGAAAGTTTAAAGTTTATTAATTATGACTGAAAACGAAAATAAAATACTTCTCAAATTTCAATCAAGCAATTGTTTTTCATTTCAACGGTGTAATATATTTATTTTAATGAATGATAGTTCTAATATTGTAAAAATACCATGGGTACCAACACAATTTATTGAATAAAAAAAAATAATGAATGATTATTTATAGATGACAAAAATTATATAGCCCAGTACACTTGTAGTACCTTTATCAAATAAAATGTATTACCAATGTTCTTATAGGACGTTTGACGGGGTTTTAGTCATAACAGTATTGTGTGATTATACGTTGTGGAAATTATAGGCTAAACATGTTCACTTATTAATGCTTATTTTAACATTTATATGTTATATTTCATTACCTTGGGCCTTAGTGTTATACATATTATAGTATATAAATGTTATACATTGAAATTTGAATTATACTTGAAAACAATACACTTTATTGACTATAAATATCAGTTTAAGAAGGTATTTTGTGCAGTGTTAAGGTGTAATGCCACCGGGAGGAGCACATATATTTTGCCATCTCTAACCCCCCTCCCACTCCCCAACACAATACTGACAATTACAAAAAAAAATCCTTTGTGAATAAAATGTACCTACCTATATAATGAAGATGCTTAGTCACATTGCTATTTGGATAAAATATTAGTGTTGGGCGAAGGTTTTTAGAATTTATATAATTCAATTATTATAATATATAATTCAATCACATGCTTAAAACTTAATCAATCATATAAAATATAATTTATGTTTAGTTTTGTGGCTATAAACTACAAAACATTCGATTTGTATGTGTAGAAAACAAATGATAATTTCGAAAAATTGTCCAGCTTAACTGTATACAGTACCAAGTAGAGAAAATCTATTGAGTATAGAAATTATTAATGACACATTTACTTACATTTTACTACCATAAAATGGAGCCAATGGTATACAAATAAAAGCACACATCAATACATCATTGTAAAACCAAAATATCCAAGGAGCTTAGCTTAGAATTTAAAATTGTCGATATTTTAATAACAACTTTGGTTTTTTTATATTCTGGAGACCTAATTTCACTCTTTTTAAAGACATTGTAATTATTAACAATTTCCAAATGGTGACGATTATAACTTTTAGAGCGTCAACAAATGGTCCACAGACTACAATATAGTGAGTACTGACCACTGAGTATCTAATGTGGTCTGTATAATATTAATAATCGAGGCTGGGATTGTATAGCACTTATAATTGCACAAATAACATTAAATATGGCAAAATATGTAATAAAACAACAAATTATGCAAAAATAGTTGGTATGAAATTAATTATGAGAACTTTTTAAAGTTAATAGTGAATATTGCTGATAGTTAACACATATTATTACCTACCCCAATAACTAAAATATATATATTCATCCATCATCTGCATAGACATATTGTATTTATACCAATCTACCTTATTTAGATCTCTGTTTATGTTATAACTGATAAGTATATAAAAAGTTTTATCATTATTAAAAATATATACGTATATATCATATTTCTTAATTAATTAGGTGGAATAAAACGGAAAATGTTATAATAATCTATAATTTAGGTGAAAGAATGCCACCTATAAATTATTTTACAATTTTGACGCCAAAGAAAATGCCCCACTATGCCCCCCATGAAACACGCCTCTGCCTAGCACCCTCTAAGTACTAGCCACCCTCTAAGTAATTCCTGAAAATCTCAGATTAAGATGTTTTTATTCATTGAAGTGATCAGAAAAAAAAACAATATCAACAATAATTACCATTGTATTATTTTATGAAACTTAAACCAAATTGTACTTGTTAAGTTAACATTAGTATTTTACATCATTACTATCAATTTTACTCTATTTTCAAGGTATAAAGAAGCTGAAAATAGGTTCCTTGAAGCACTTGAAAGAATTAAACAAATTAAACAACCTATAATAGCCAATAAATGGGAATCGCTTTTCAACAATTTGGGACATGTATATCGAAAGATGAAGAACTATGATAAAGCCCTAGAGTATCATAAACAAGTAAGAACCCTCATACAAAAATAACTTGTAAATTATTGTACATATTAATTTAAACTTTGATTGTTTTTAAGGCTTTAGTTATATCTCCTATGAACACATCTACATTAACATGTATTGGGTTTGTTCAGTCACTCAATAATAATTTTAGAGATGCTGTGGATACATTTCATAAGGCTTTGGGCCAAAAGCGAGAAGATACATTTAGTAGTACCATGTTAACATGCGTTTTGGAAATATGCATTGAAGATCCTCCTTTATTTAATGACTATTCAGATGAGGCAACAGAATCATTAAAACTTGAACTAAGCAAAAAACTACCGAAAACCAATAGATTGTTAAAAATGAATGATGATAATGACGTCATACTTCCATTCAGAAATCCTAATTTAAGACTCTGGAACAGAAGACTAAAAAAGAAAACTGAAGATACAAGTAGTAACGATCCTTTGGAAGACATCAGTAGTAACAATCCTACCGAAGAAAACAGTAGTAACAAAATTACTGAAGATACCAGTAGTAATACTAATATAGGTGATACTAGTTGTAATACCGTAGGAGATACTAGTAGTAGTGCAATGGTTATAGATTCTAGTTCAGCTGCTGATAATTCTAGCATTAATATGGACTTGTCAACAAATATGTCTGGAAATTCTGATAGTTCTAAGTAATATAGTCATTAAAAAAAAAAAAAAAAAAAAAAAATGGACATTTTTTTATATCTTACCTAATAAATAATTACTGAATTTTAAATTATAGATATTTATCTACCAAATATTTTATATTACAGAAATGAATATAGTTATAATTTTGATTACTGTTTGATGTATTTTGTATAATTTAATAAATATAAATTATTATTTACAGCAATAAAGCTGAATACTTATATAAAAGTGATATTTCTTCAATAATTAATATAGAATTTAAAATATTAGTAATATTAAGTTATATTAGTTTAACTAAAAACTTTTTAGTTTTGTCCAAATAACTTATTTACAGTAATACCTATTTGGTATAAAGCCAAAATACTGCTGGTCCCATGTTGAAATAACTATGGCTACTGTATCTTAGTAAACTTCCTAACGTTTATGAAGGAAAAAAACCCAATTACTAAATAGGTAAACATAAAATTCTTAGGCGTATGGTTATAATAAACAACATAAGTCAAGTTTTCAGGAAGGTTAAACAGAATCATTGACAATAAATGGGCTGATAATAAGTTTAATTTAATATTCAATGTACCAACTTTTATGTTAACTATTAAGTAGAACTTTAAAATCAATTCTTCATTATTTTTAAGTGACTTAAGATAATTGGATTTTTATTTTATATGCCTTACGTCTTGCGCTATCAAGAGATACATTAAAAATTATTACTAAACTTGACTTATGATATTGAGACCATTTTGAAACTATTTCTGTCAGATTCTCAATTCTTAACTAGACATACGTTCTATACCCAATATTTAAATGTGACTTAAAATGTTTAGACCAAAACAAATTTCACCAATTGTGAAGAATTATAATTGTGACTTACATGATAATCTGTACCAACAAAATATCAAAATGTTTGATTCCAATTACACAAATGGCAATTTTGACTTGTCTTTTATATACCATACACCAAAGAATTACTCTAAATACTCCCTTACAACACCATTTAGATGTAAAAAAAAATATTACCTAGGATTTTATCAGACTAGATAATTTTATTATAGCAGACATAAAACTTATAATGGAAGGGTTAAGAAAAAACACTAATTATAGTAAAAATAAATAAGTATATTTCGCAAAATTTATAAAGATATCATGCATTTTATAGTTTTTGTAATTAAATACAAATTTCAAGAATAACATTAATGTAACAAATAAAAAGTACTGTTGTTAGTAAAAACCCAGTAATAATAATCTTTTTGTTTGCCCATCATAAAAAAAAAAAATAATATTAATTAAATAATTATTTTAACAAAATTGTACTCTTAATACATTAATAATTTCTCAAAAGATAACAATAAAAAAAATAAGTGGTTAATTTTCATATTCATTGCTCCACTTCAAACCTGTAACAATTTTTATAAATTAATTAAATGCAAATTAAATAATATCAAAACTCCAAACTTACTGATGCGTAGGTGAAGAAAAACTGTTGTTATTAGGAGATGTAAATCTTGGTGGTGAGCTTATGCTAGTTGGAGTGTGTTTAGAATTTCGCATTAACGGACGATGTGTACTTAATGTAGTACTTGTATGTTTCCAATTCCAACAACCACGGCAATAGTAACGATAGCACAACTGATCTCTACAGAAGTACGGTCCAAGTTGAATGTTACAAACACTGCAAGCACTATCTTCCAAGTATGGATCAACCTGAATCTAAAAACATTACAATTAATAATATTTAATTAGAGTTAAAATATGTTTAACTTACCACTTTGCAAAACTTAGGAGTTTTAACTTCCACAAATGATGCAGCCACAGCTTTTGTATAGGATTGGTAAGTACTAAATGTTACTCTGCCTGAACCAATTGGATACTTATATTTGTCAGTATCAATTCCTATAAAACATAAATAAAAAGTATTAAAAATAAATAAAATGTTGTGGTTTAATCCAATATATTATATACCTGCATATGAAACATTGCCAAACAAATCATCCATAATTCTAAATAATCCTTGTGCATTCATCATTCCATGCAATGCACCCACAAATACAGTCCTGGTAGGATCTAACTTTTGAGAAGGATGTTTGACACAATTACTGTCATTGATAAGCCATGGAATTACTTGCACTTCTTTGCCTTTCATTTTTCGAGAAGAAATTTTGAAATAATAGTTTCCATTTGATCCTTTAGTACTAGACTCCAACAATTGTTTCACCATTTGATCAGATTGCATTATAACATAAACATAACCTTTCGGCTGATTAATGTTAGTTGATGTGCCTGGCCATTCAATTTTAACAGATCCAAATTGACCAAAAGCCATGATCAACCCATCTTCAGTTATGTCCCATGGTACACCTCCCAAAAATACTTTGCATGAATAATTCGGAGAGCTATGTACAATTTTAGGAAGTTGACCACTCCAAGTAAATACAGGATCCTTATGCAAGCCACCTAGAACAAAAATATATTTTATAAAATATTAATTTTATACACAATGTACCTACAGACACAAAAACTTCTAATACAATAATTATTGTTCACTGTATAATATATAAAATAAAAAATTATAAACACTTACTGAACGAATTGCGATTCAAAGTTCGATTTTCAATTTGGTTATTATTGCTATCATTTTTTGGTCTAGTAGGGGACCAAAATGGAGGTGGAGACCTCTTCTCATAAACAGGTGACTGACCAGCCGCTGGGGAACCATATCGGGAGGGATATTGACTTTGGTTAGCCAATAATGTGCTTAGCAAATTTTGAGTTTGATGATGTATATTATCACCAGCAGACAATCTCCCACTCGATATGCGTTGCATATTAGCCAAGTCTTGCTCAGTCAATGGAGATGAACCATAAGGATTAATATTACCTTGATTCTAAAAATAGAAAAATAATTCTTAGTATAAATTAAGTACCTATAGGCAGTAAAAAGTATATTAAATACATACTAATATATCAGATACAGCTTCCGGGCTGTTGGATATGTCCGAATCGTCGGGAGTATTAGATCTAGACCCAATCGTAAGATGCGAAATAAGAGGATCGCTACCATCACTAAATGTAGGCGAAATACGATACTGTTGTTGCGGGATTTGATAACCGCCGTAAGACGCAAACGATAAATCCAATTTCGGTCGGCGTAAATTTTTACGCCCGATGTCACAGACTTCTTCAGTTTGACCGACACTTCCAAAATCGGTCATATTTGACACACTTCTATCCGCGAGATATGGCAAATGAAGAGAGTTGCGTCTTAAATTTGCTAGCTGCTCCTACAAAAAAATATCAGTACGAAATTCCAATAAATTGATTTCAAATACTAATGCACTTGCGTAAAAAAAAAACAATTGATTATATTATATTAAAAAAAAGGAATGAATGCATAGCAACGATTACTGTCAGTATCAGTGCCAGAGAGATTAATGAAAATAAGTTTGCCATAGATAGAATATTAAACGATTAATAATTGTTTAATAAGAGTAAAAAGTATTGAACTCACCTGAGCTGTATATTGGCGTGTTGAATAATTAGGCACAGATTGACGACCAATCATTGAACTGCGAGGCGTACTTAGAGAAAAATACTCTGAAGAGTTCAAAGATTCGCCTAAAAATAAAAAACCATGAAATTTAAAAAAAAAAAAAAAAACAAATAAAAAAAAATAATATTTAAGTACTTACCAGAATTGTTTCTAGATGGACTTAGGCTTTGATCAGGTGAAGAAAAGAAACTATTGAAGTCCCTAGTACTTCTATCTTGACCCACGGAAGGAGAAGTAACTTCCGGCACGTCTTGGTTTTGAAAAATTGATAACTAAAATTTTATTTTAAAAATTGAGTATTGAAAAATAAAATTTTTTTTTACTAACGTATTATAAAAAAAAAAAAAAAAAACTAAAAATAAGTTAAAAAATATTAATTACTTACCCTTCTGAATGTAGACATGTTTGAAAGTTGAGTAGTAGAATAATAGTTTGAAAAATTAGAGATTCAAGAATGGATATGGAAATAAACGAGATTGATATAAAACCTAATTACGAACTTACGAATTTACGAACAATTAAAAACCGCGGATCTTAAAAAGCAGTAAGACCTACTCGACACTCGGCGACGAACTAACTACTAACTCGACTTAATCGCGGGCTCGGTCTATTCGAACTAGCTAGTTACTGCGCATCAGTCGTGCGCATCGCTTTGGGCGGCAACCTCTGATTGGTTGACGATCTGACAGACCGGCGAATCAAAAGGCATTACGGAGTACAATACACCTCTTTAATCTTTTTGTAGGACTGCGCAACACCTCTTGGAAATCGCCCGTATCTATTTTATTTTCTATAAAATATTATATTTTATTTTTAATAAAAATATTATATTTTTCATATCGTTAAATCGTTTAGGTTAGGTATATTTTTAATATATCATAGTACCCAATTTTCCCTTCTTTATTTTACAACAAAAACAGAGATTGTCCGAAGATTGGTATTTCCTATAATAGGTACCTACCAATATATACCTACCTATATAATATTAAATATGTTCGTAGGTACTAACTACTTACATACTAATATACTTAAATCACGGCATCTCGTATATTTGATTTAAAATTGTAATTAAAACAATAATTCAATAACTGCAAACATTATTATATCACGGTGGCTATGGAATTTTCACTGTATATAAATATTTTAAAATATGAGGTAGGTTTCTTTTTTCTTTTTTTTGGGAGGGGGGTATTGTCTTTTTTCAAGTTTTAAGACACAAATATTTAAAAACGGCTAAATTTATTAACCAAGATGCTAGGCCAAGGGGGGCTGACCCCTCTGACCCCCCTCCATTAAATCAGCCACTGCAAACAGATGTGTTACCTCTATAAACTGACAGATAGGAGGTACCCATATTATATTTAGTTTAAAAATGTAAAAATACCTCTATATAAAGCAAGACAGACCTCCCGAGTGGTGAGTCCTATCTTTATATTATAGGTATACCGTATAATATTACATTATTACTGAATACTGACTTCTTATACAACAGGAATCCTCATAGAATTATAGCTCTTGAAAGTCTATCCATATATAAGACTGAACTTTGCAGACATGTTTATTTTGGTTATTCTCAATGGTTATGTTCTGTGTAACTGTGTCCTGAATTGTTAACGATGATAGGTTTTCGAATTCCTTGACTATATAATACACGCACAATCTATATTTATTTGTCATTCCAAACCTTATAGGACAAATAGTGAAGCATTTTATCTTCCTCCCAGAGCTTTTTAATTAGCCAATACAATCTCATACACACTTGATTTTTTTAATTCTGCACCTGATAAGATGAACGTTGGTTGGAGTTAAATTTGAATTCAATGATACAATATCATTGTATGTACGAAAATCGATTCTGAGCGATCAGAACGGTCAACCTATAATATTATTACTATAGGTTTATTTTATGATATTATTTTAATTAAATAGTATACCTAATTTTATTTTATTATTATAGGTACCTAATTAGGCATTAGTATCTACTACAGTAGGTTAAATTTATTCTTGCCAAAAAGATTACATTTGAAAATGCGTCATAATTGTGTGCATAAAATATAATAACATACTCTAAGTCTCTAAAAGTTTCATATATCCACGAATAATATTACAACAAAAAAACTAAAATCGTTATTTTTGGTTTTAATGTGTAATTACGTCCAAATTTGAATTTAAGATGTCTCTAAAAAATAACTGTGCTTATATATTTTTTATTTTTTGGATACATTATGAGCTTATTATGATCTTTTTATTTTTGTTTTTACATTTAAATCATAAGTTATAAAAGTTGAACATTTTAACTTTTTGATTACAATAATTGATAATTTTCGAGATTTTGATCATTTTTGTACAAATTCGAACTTTAAATGATTATATCAAAGAATTGTGCTTATGTTTTTTTTACTATTTTTCAATTACTATTGTAAAAATATATATCAGGAGCCTTATTACCGATGTCTTAGGCCGCTCGGCCACTCAGTCTTCCATGAGAAATCTTGTACTAAATGTCTAAATGTTTATGATTTCCTAACTCAAATTCAAAATAATGTGCACATTTTTACATATTTTTACATATTTTTACATATTTTTTCAAAATTAGAAGAACTTTGGAATGCTTGTAAAAAAATGTTATAAATTGTGACTATGTATTTTTAATATTTTACAACTGCCATTGTAACAATATATTAGTGGTCATGTATTAAATTTTCAAGCTTTTTGACCCAACGAATACAGTTTTATTGACATCTATAAAAAACAAAATTATACAAATTGAAAACTAAAAATGTCCGTAAACCGCTCAAAACAAGTCAAAATATTTTGAATATTTTATGGTGTAAAGCAAATGCTAATATAAACATTCAGTATTTCAGACAAAACCAAAATCGAATATCTTCCATACATGGCCAATTAAATTTATAAAGGTATTATAATTTTCAATTTATTTTTTGTCAATAGTTTACAAATATTTAGTGTTTTCTCAAACTGGCTCATTACGTTCTTATTGGAGGTATACTATTTAGCTATAACGCTATATATATACCAACGTTTGGCGACTTATTTTACTAGTTTACCACCTCGTGTCCTCGTCGACCTATTTTAATTTTTACAGACATATTATAATGCTATGTTATTATAAATAAAATATATATAATATAATTTAATATTTATTTGTACTTTAAGTTTAAAATTTGTTAGATTGCCAAACGTCAGTAGATCACTATATCCACTATAATTATAATTATATCCAATCATAATATTTTCTGTAACCTGCATATTATATTGGCAACCATATAAATAATTCGATTTCCGTTTACATTCCATATGTGAGCTCATGTTTATAACGTGCATTTTTAAAAATAATGTATTAGTGTAACCCCTATATAGGTACATCGTGGTACGAAGGCATCATATGACCATTTAAAGTATCTATAGATACCAGCTATCATCTTATATAGTTTTGGCTGTACGATTGATTATAGTCAGTCCGCAACAAAGACATCTTCTTCTTATTGTGTAGATGAATATGTATAATCAGTGGCGTATCCAGGGGGGGGGGGGGTTAGGGGGTTGTAACCCCCCCCGAAAATTGTTAAATTATAACAACGTTATCATTAATAAATCATTTTAAGATAAAATTCCACAAAAATAAATTATAACCCCTCCCGAAAAAAAATTCTGGATACGCTACTGTGTATAATTAATCATAATTACTTAATGACAGCATCTATAAACGGCAAAATGAATATATGCACCCTTTAGATAATATTGATTATGAATTTCAAGTTTCATGAAAGATTGGTCCAGTGGTTTCGGAGGAGATAGCAATAACCTTTTAGCATTTGTATTTTATAAATTGAATATACCTGCAACATAGGGACATGCGTATTCATTCTTCATATACGTTATTGACGGATAAATATACTTATTAATTATACAATTCTTTGTTTATACTATTATACTTTTAACTAAACTATTATGATAATTGACAAAAATTAATACTGTATATACCTAGTACTATAAATTATAAATAATTATTACAGTAATCTCATTATCAGAATACTATTTTCTAAGAATGATTTTTTTTAAATAAAACCATGATAATATCGATCAATTAATATTTTTGAAAAAAAAATAGATTAATGACATTAACATACGATTGCTATTATAGTAACTACTTTATTCCTCTAAGAGCAGTGTTGGGAAAGTTCCTTTTAAAAAGGAACTCGTTCCCGTTCCTCGTTCCTACTGTAAGAAAGGAACTCGTTCCCGTTCCTCTTTCCTGTCCCGAAAAAAGAACGCGTTCCCGTTCCTTTTTAAAAAGGAACGCGTTCCCGTTCCTTCATGTTCCTTTTTTTGCAATTTGAGTGGTGGTCAATGGTGTATTTTGCGAACAATTTTTAAGTCAGAAATAATCGAACCGAGAGAGTTAACCGATTATTTCTGACTTAAAAATTTTTCGCAAAAAACACCATTGACCACCACTGAAATCGGTTAACTCACTCCCACAACGACCCGGAACACGACACGTAGTCGACCGACGGCGTCGCGGCTCAGTTTTGGCGCGGAAACACACTATATGCGCTTCATAAAATATACTGTGGCACTCAACGTGTTAAAAATAAATATATTTATATTTTTTTTTTTCATTATTTGAGGAACGGAAATTTTCGTTCAAGTTCCTTCAAAATAGGAACTCGTTCCCGTTCCTCGTTCCTATATTTTAAATGGAACGCGTTCCGAGCTTCGTTCCTATAAAAGGAACGCGTTCCTTCCCAACACTGTCTAAGAGTAGGTAGACGGTAGTTCACAATGTAGTTGTATGTATAATTACAATAATATGTATAATTTACGGCACTTTAAGTATGCAATTTAAATACATTGAAATACATGAAAATAATTTATGATTGGAGTTCATACAATAATACTTTGCATCAAATAGCAATATAGCATATATGTAAAATGGTCACACTGATTATGTCTTTTGATAGTATTATCAGTATTTTTATTTAATTTTTACGCGTGAACCTCTCCCCGCCAATCATGGAAAATGGACCAGTTTCTTGTTTACCAACAACCCCGAAAATGTCGAAAGCGAAGAAAGTAATCGAAGAAGCACTGGAAAATCAAAATCCAGAGTTGGATTTAGCGGACAAGGGGGTAGTCTCCTTCGAGGAGATGCCAGGACTCAGTAAGTGTACTAAATTTAAACATTTCCTTTTATGGAAACTTGTTTCTTATTTACAATCGCCTTATAAGGACATCTCTATCATCCTCCAATACTCCATAATGTTTCCCAATTATTATTCTGCAATATTATTTTTTATAAGTACAAGACTAGGTCTTTAAACAGATTTATCACTATCCAAAATGTAATGTATTAAAAAAACATAACATTATACCTATGTTAAATCCAAAAACATTTTTTATTCATAATTGTTTTCTAAAAACTAAAAATGCATTGATAAGGGGGACAACTAAGGGCCCGTTTTACAATCATAGTTTAAACTTCGGTTTTGCTTAACCCACTGATTTTATCGGCCGAATTCGTTCGTTTAACCTTAGTTTAACGATTGTAATACAGGCGTTAAGTTCAATCACTAAATCTGCATAATTCATTTGAAAAAAAAGTTTCTTATAATTCATACAAATGATTATTTTTTACATTTGATATTGTTAAAATGTGAAATGTTTAATAACATACCTACCTACCATTATTTATTTATTAAAAGTATGCCTATCGGCCAGCAGTGGTAGATGATTTTGGCGTGAGGAAGGATGGTGCTGATTTATTAACATTAGCTTGTTAAGCTTTGATCATTAGAAATATAATTTAAGGATTTAAGATTAATTTGTTACTTAAAAACATAAGCTAAAAATGTAATTTATAGGTTACAATTGTACCTAAATGAATAAATTGGTAAATATTTTTTTTTCAGTTTAGATTAAGGGTTACGTAATGGTTATATTTACATCTACACAATTAATAGCCATTGTAGCCAATTGAGACAAATCCCCTGATGGCTCTGTAGAATAACATAATTATTACAAAATGTATAAATATTAAAGTTTTAAATTAATATTTTTAATTTATCTATAAATGATCATACTCTATTTATTCAAATTATTTATTTTAGCCTAAAGCACAGTATAGTATTAATAAATACTCTACAGCTCTACCAAAACAATTATTTTATCTAAAGTTGTGAATAGATCTTCTATATTTTATCACTTAATAAAAATAATAATTATTATTCACATTATTTTCTTTATAAAAATATTAATAATATTATATTATTATTAAATATTTATATTGAAAAAAAAGGTCATAGGGAAATATAACCATATATCCCCTGTTTGCCTGCCCCTAATATGGGCTGGTTTTAACTCTGTGGAAATAATATGAATCATAATGGATAAATAATAACTAAAATATTTAATAAAACTGTACAAGTCATACTATCTTCAATACATGTAGCTATAGTGAAAATATTGCTGTAAATAAGTAATATGAATAACTATAAAAGAATACCTCATAGGCGGAAATGCATCAAAATTTCAATGGGGACTATCATTATTAACATCAATGTGAGCAGGACTTCGATCCTACAAAACTAATGTAGGGAGTTTGACGGACTTTTGGGGGTTAAGCCTCCTCAACCTCCCTCTAAGATTTCTGCCAATGGAATACCTGCTATTCATACTGAAATAAATAATTTAGAATGCATGTTGCCATGTTCCATTGTTCCTATCAGGGTCCCCTCTGGCTGTTAGACCTGGTCCTATAAGAGCCCATTGAAATGTATTTGTAATTTTTGAAATAAGAATACTTATTTTATACATAGTAGTTTTGTTATTTTAAGCTGTTTGGTTAACCATTTATTACCCTGAAATTGTGTATGTGATACTTTTATCACTTTTACTGGGTCGGATTTTTTTTGGAAATTTTATATAGCCGTACATTTAGTACAGGGGCCCAACATTTGATGTGGGGGGCCAGGTTCCCATTTTAAAACCCAGATTAAAAATATTTTGTTTTGTATAATATCTAACAATAATTTTTTTTGTTTGATTTCAGTTGATATGCATAATATTACTCGTATTACATTAAGTCACAATAAAATACAAAGTAAGTGCAGTTAATTGCTTGATTTAATTCATATGCTTAATTGAAATGGCTGATAAAGACTAAACTACATTAACATTTTATAGCCTTTAAAGTTTATTGAATGTTATAACAGTAAACAAGATTTTATTTTATAACCTTTGATATTAGACATTAGTTAGTAAAATGTTAGCATTTGCTTGTACAGCCAAAGCACACTCAAGAATATGACTTATGTAAATTATTGTTTAAAATGTTCATATAAAACATTGTTTTTAATTGGCAACTATTAATTTCTAGAAGTACCTCCCGGAATTGCAAATTTAACACAGTTAGAGATGTTAAATTTATTTAACAATCATATCGAAGAATTGCCAGTTTCTCTCTCATCTATGCCAAAATTACGTATATTAAATGTTGGGTAAGTTTAAATGATCCATTTACAATATAATATTGTTAAACCTTAAACATGATGTAATAGTTGTATGTTTTTCTAGAATGAATCGTTTGGACTCATTACCACGAGGTTTTGGAGCGTTTGCAGTTCTTGAAGTATTAGATCTAACATATAATAATTTAAGTGAAACCAGTTTGCCAGGAAATTTTTTCATGTTGGGTAATTATATACTAGTAAAATTATATCAATTCTTAAATTAAGAAAAAAACAAATATTTAAAAAATATATTTCTTATTTTTTAGAAACTTTACGTGCATTATACTTGGGCGATAATGATTTTGAGACTATACCACCTGAGATTGGACAGTTAAAAAATCTACAGATTGTAAGTTTAATACTCTGTAAATATTACATTTAACATGTCTTTATTTTATCTTTATTAGCGTTCTTAAATTTCTTTAAAAATAATTTTGAATAACATTTCCTTTTGTAGTTATTAAAATATCACGTTTATATATTTTTATCCATTTATATATTTCAATGTTTCCTTTTTCTTTTTTGCAGCTTGTTTTACGAGAAAATGATTTAATTGACATACCAAAAGAGATTGGTTATCTACCCAGATTACGTGAGTTACACATTCAAGCTAATCGACTTACAGTTTTACCACCAGAATTGGGTAATTTAGATTTGTTTGGAAATAAATCTGTATTGAGAATGGATTTTAATCCTTGGGTTGCTCCAATTGCTGACCAACTTCAAGTTGGAGTATCTCATGTAATTGATTACATAAGATCGGAAACCTACAGATAGTAAGTATTTAAATATATGGTAAAAAACAACCAAGGAATAAAAAAACCAAAACTATATTAAAGACATTAAAATATTAAATTAATTATATAATGAAGTGTGTATACATGTATACTTTAAAAGTTAAAAATATTATGGAAATAGTGCACAAAAAAATTAATATATATTTTGAAGGTTGGTCATACACCAATCAATAATTATTAATTTATCACCTTATTCAAACACAATCTACACTTTTTGGAAAGGTATCAAGTATCTTATTATTATTTATTTGTACACAGTTGTATTGTGAAATATTATTTGATTAACAACATATTAAATTATTATTATTTAATATTTTAATGTTTAGTCTAGTTTCGAGTAGTTTTGGTTTTTTTCTCTAGAATTTTATTCTCGGATCCATTTAACGTATATTTGTAACATAATATTAGTTAAGAGGACGCTACACGTCCATTTGTTATCTTCGTCTTACACTCTTACAAGTGCGTAACATAGCAAATTCACGCTCAGGAGAACGCGTTTAACTCCGTTAGTTTAAAAATTAGAATGAATCAATGAGTTTATTATGAAACTTGATGGTAAGTACATTATCTGTGTTTGTACGTGGGTTTTTTACGATCGTTAATTTTTTTAGTAAGTTATGAGTATGTAACATAGCGTAAATTAAAATTGGCTCATACCTCACTTATTAACTGAATTATTGTAAAAAAACCCTCATGCAAACACAGATAATGTACTTACCGTCAAGTTTCATAATAGGTCGATTCACTATTTCACTATAGTTTATAAGCTGAGTTAAATATGATCTGAGCGTAAATTTGCTGTGTCATGCACTTGTAAGACGAAGGCAAAAAATATGTGTAGCGACGTAGAGTCCTAAATCCCGAATAAAGAACTCGTTATTTACATCATATAATTTATATGATATAATATATAATATTATGGGTGATTGTGAATACTCGGCCAGAGGAAAAAAAATGTTCAAAAGGTCTATTCTAAACTCGCCCCAGGGTTTTTACAGGTCCAAATGATTTAGGTGTAAACTCGGCCCGAATAAAAATATACGTATAATATTTTTGAGAACCATTTAGCATTACCCAGAGGACCGTGAGGAGGTTATCATTACTCATTATCCTCCAAAAATTATTTTCATTTTCATATTATTGTTTATAATATGAAATTCGTTATATTAATGTAAAATTTAAGTAATATATTTTAGTATTAAAAAATATAAGTAAAATGTATTTGCAGAATAAATTATGTCATTATTATATTTTATTGGTCAAAATTATCGGGCCGAGCTTACAACCGACCTTTTTTTACTATCTTAAATTTCCGGGCCGATTTTAAAATCTACTTATTTTATTACCTAAAATTTCCGGGCCGAGTTTACAACAAAAAAGGGAACTACGGCCCCAGTTTACATTTGCCCAAATTATATTATATAATATTTTATACTTTTTTTAAATAATAATATTTTTTTGTAGTCTTCACAATCGGCATATTGCTGCTAGGGGTCCACCTCCGCCAAAACTCAATGATAAGACACGTAAGATTTCAAGGAATCGTCAATACAGCTAACTTTTTATGTAAATTAAGATGATCAAAATTAACTTAAGACTTCAGTCATGTAGTTTCCGAAATCACGAGACAATCGCCTACTAAAGTAAATAACTATAGGATCATAAGAACTACATAAATAATGCAATTTAATTAAAATTGTTTTAATATACCAATACTAAAATGTACCTACTTAATTCTCGCACAATTAATATTTTTATTTATGTCATTTAATTTTGTATTGTCAACCTTTTTTTGGTCCTTACCAGCTGCGGCTCCCTCAGCCCCTCCCCTAGATACGCCACTGCTTACCAGTTGTATTATGTAGGTGGTGAGTGAAATCATTTCGGAGCTTGTTCTTAACATAATATATAATCAATGATCATCAATGTTTGTTTTCTTTTTTTTACAAACTAACGATATTATCTAAATATATATTTTTTTATAAAGTCAATATAACATTGTAGGAAGAATAATATTAATTATTTAACGAGAAAAGTCATCCATTAATATATTTTTGAAAAAGTTTTATATTATTATTACACTATTTTTATATAATTTATTTCTAGAATTTAACTATGTTAATGCCTTAATGTTATACAATTTGTGTTATTATTATTTTGAAATAAAATAGTTCAAATTTATTAACCATAACAGTGTGTACATTCTGAATTATGCGTGTTTGCATTATTCGCGGCATGCGATCGGTAGGACAATGACACTACCTATGACAGTACGTGGGTATAAGTTTTAGTTTAATGCGATGATTCTGGTTGTTTTTTTTCTTCTCAACTATAATATTTTATTGATTTATATTTTATATAATATTTTAAAAATGAAAAGGAACTAATGTAAACCTCCGTTACTCGTAATCGGGAAATAGAAACCGTTCGTTGGTCGGATTACGACGTACAATTTTCCCGTTGTCCGCGTAATCGTCATTATCGCATAGACCGTCCCCTGTGCCCGAAAAGTCGTTTCTCGACGAAAATTCCACGAAGCGCCGTCTAGCCCAACCCCATGTACAATATATTCCTTCCGGCACGTGCCCGAAAACGCGAACACAAATAGAGCGCTTCTGGAAAACTGTATACAATGTCTGCGAATTTCCCGCCATCGACGACCTCGCGTCTGGCGCACACGTGGCGGCGGCGGCTGCCTTTTTGTCCTCGCATCCGACACGTGTGCGTCTGGCTCGAGGATTTTCGCGAACCGATCCCGTTAACAGATCGATTCCATCGCGATAAAGTATTACCTACATAATATTATTATACATGTCATTATATTCCGTATTGTACGAAATCGTGTTAGACACGGGCTCGCGATTTCTGCGAAGGGTTAGCTCACGGGGAGCGGGGTGGAGGACGACGATCGTCTCTTTACGGAATTATAATAATATTGTCTTACGTTCTATATTATATTATTATGCGAGCTGCCGCTCCGAAATTCCTCCGTAAATAAATGCGGGCGGGTCCGAATCCGCTGCAGTCGTAGCTGCTAAATTATTAAGTACCGTCAAAATAATAAACGATTGATTTTGCTGAAATAGCTGTACAATTCCCATAAACACGAAATCGCTTACGACCCGTGATGAAATAATATTATGACGGTATGATAATGTCAGCGCACTATTTGTTTTCTCTCTCTGTACCACAAAGACAAAACGCAGAATCATTTTTTCTATGTTTAAAATAACCTTACAGTAAAATCCCCCATTACAAAAGATAGAGAATAATATTTTTGTTGGAATGACATATCGAGTTTATATTTTATTGTTATTTGACTTTGTATTCGACTTTCAAAATAAACAAAAAAATATTGTAAATTTAAATTATGTTTAAATTGTTTTAAGACAATATTTAGACAAATCGATATGTCATTCTTTCGAAAATATTATTCACTATCTTTTTTGTAATGGGTGACGGTGAATTTACTCTAAGATTACTTAAAAACATAGAAAAAATGATTCTGGGTATATGCGTTTTGTATATTATGTTGAGCGTGTGCCAGAGAGATAAAACAAATGGTGCACTGACATCCTCTTATGCTTTAAAATATCATTATTCTTTATGATACTTGTTGATGAATGATGGTACCCTTATATTTTAGATTTTTAGCAATTTATCTGAAAGAAACTAGGGAATTATACGTCATAATATTATTTTTTTATTAAATTGCCTAATAAATTGTTTTTCAAACATATATATTATAATACCTGTACTTGGTATACAGAAATAATTATTATAATTGGTGTTACACCTAATTTCGGTTTTCGTTGGGTTATTTTTATAGTTAATCCAAGACTTGAAGTTTTTAAATATACAATATACATACCTAGGCATAATATTAATTTATGGTGATTTATTTATTTATTTATTCGTATGGAAATTTATGGTGATATTATTTTATGATAGACGATAACAATAGGTCATTGTTTTATGTTTTGATGCTAAATAAGTAAAAATGTACAACTTAATTTGGTGCAGCATTTATTTCTACAACATTAATTGATAATTAATAATCATGTGTAGTCTTCAATTATCTATTGGCTATTTAGAGAAATAAACAATATGCTTGGGTACCAAAAAAAATAATAAAAATAAGTTTCTACATCGGATTATCGGAATATTTAGTTTATAATATTGATCAAAATAATATACGTAATATAATTAATATAATTAATACTATTAAACACTACGGATTATTATGGAAACCCTGCAGACTGATGGCGATAACAAAAATAATTATGATTTAAATTGTAATGATTTAATAAGAAGACGTGTTATTGGGCAAATTATATGGCATAGTAATGCAATATTTACGTATATTAAGTGTAAAGTAAAATTTAAGATTGATTTACTATCTTAAATCGTGGTGTAAAGTATACCTGTGTACTAGTGTGTGTACAGTGTACCTTTTAGATATAATTAAATAATTCAACCATACAACTATTTATAAATAATTTTTAAATAATATTATAATGTAAAACGGTTTTAACAAATGATTTTATTTAAATCTATCATGTTGGTTTATATTTAGTTATACTATCGGTTCAAGATATTTATTTGTCATCTATATCCCATACCTGACGGCTATCGGGCTATAACAATCATAATATTAATTAAGGTTTATTTTCCACAATGAATTAATTCAAATCAAAGCAGAGGAATAATATATTGTTGGATGATGCTAATGTTGCTTGTGTTTTGTTAAGACATTTAAGACTAACATTAATTAATAGGTACACAACTATGAACTAAAAATTATAGTGATTATTTTAAAACCCCCATCACTCAGAGAAAAAATTATACATCATATAAGTGGGTACCTATCAACATATTACTGGCACTTGAATTCTTTATAAAAATGTAATTACAATATTTTAGTACGTGACCCGAAAATGATTCGTCCATACCCCTGACCCCTGCCCGCCCTGGATAGACGATCAGTTGTGTAATTATATTATAATCAACTTAATAAACAATTTAACAATTTTTTTTTTTTAATCACTCACTCCACCCAAAACAAAAATATTACACCACCACTTTATTCCATAATTATTGTGGTGATGGTATAATTATTAAATTTAATATTATTTATAAATGTATAATGAACTTGTTAAAATGCAATAATGCATCGATACCTATGACTTATAAATTAAATACATAATATGACACCTACACGTATGTCGTATACGAGGGTTTAGGATATTTCGCCGGCGAAATGTCCGGGTCCGAGTACCCATTATCAACATGTTTCTGTATTTCCAAAAATAGACAATAGTATATCGTAAATATTGAAAATAGCATGAACCATACACACAAACTGCTGTCATAATGTCATATAAGTCAAAACTCAAAAAACATGTCCGAAACTATGACCTACCAATCAAATAAATTATTATCGATGTCAACGTTTAGTAAAGATCATCATTAATTTCTTGAACCTCGAAAATTATTTTAAAATGGGTACAATATACAGATTATTATTTACACTAAATAAATAATAGAATATTAAATATTGATGTAATATTAAGTATTTTTACCATTAGATACTGTGCAATAGCGAGGTATTTGAAATAACATTTTAATAAATATAACAATAAAACTCATTTAAAATAATAAAATATTACAAATTGTGATAAATTATGAACAATGAAAACGAAAATAAGGTTTAATATTTTTGGACTATAATAACTATTTGTTAAAAGCTGATGAAAAATAAATCGAAAATAATATTAATTATATTTTTTTAATATACCTCCTCTAACAACCATTTTAAATATATTTTAATTATTACAACGCTTTTTAAATTTATCAAGACATTTAAAAAAATTGAATTTTGAACAATTCCTACAAATAATATAAAAATATTTTGTTAATGGTTCATAAGATAATTTTATGCGATTTTATATGTATTTGAACTTTTAAATAAATCAATTTTTATTTTTCAAAGATGCACTAAATAAATAATATGTACCCACTACCCAGGATAAAAATAATATTTCACCTCTGAGTATTTCTATCATCATGTCCCAAGGGTAAACCCATACAGACTCACAAAATAATTATTATAGTTTAAAAACTTTAATACTAATTAGTATTTATAGTACGTGTCAACGAAAGTTTCTAATATGTGGTATTGTGGTTGCTGTAATATGCACAGACTTATAGAAATATGACACATGACACCTATAATTGCAATCAAATAGGTTTGAACGAAGTTGGATTGTTTATTATTTCAAATTATATAGGTAGGTAGCTATTTTTTTCAAGTATATGTAACCCAACCATATGTCACCAACTAATAAACTAATTTTTATACTTAAGAATTTTTCGTAGTAATAGGGTTTTTTATTGGGATTATTTTTGTTTGGTTGCCATAAAACATGAAAAATCTACGTTCGTATTTAATAAAACCTGTGATGTCTGTTAATGTTGACTGAAAATAATGTTGTAACTCTAATAGTAGATACGCTATAAATACCTACTTACTAGGTATTACAATATCGCTTTTATTAATCAATATTCAATCTACATATTACTTTAAAAGTTTTATAAATATTATGGCAAGAGCTTCCTGTACGTAGTACGTAATATATAGGTACCTAATAAATTTATAAATGTGTATATTGAGTTCGGATTTGTCAGAGTTTAACAACGTCGATTATCAACGACATTGAATACGATTGCTCTTTCATTTTTAGAAACTTGTTGCTTAGAATTTAGTTGGATGACTTCTCCACGTCGAGTTGTAAATATGACCACAAGAACAGCCAGTACATAAAATAATTCTGCATTTAAAAATATGAGCTGCGATATGACTTATACCTAAGTAGGTACTTATACCATAGTATGTTTGTAAGCGTTTCATAAAGACGCGTATTTGGTGTTTGTTTATGTACAATAAAGTTATTCAATAGCTTGAATTGTCATCTATTATTTTGTGTACCTATACCATGGAAAGCCAGTTTATTATACATAATACACAACAAACACAAAATACGAGTCTTTATGAAGTAGTTTTCGTCTTTATCCCAAATACTTAATTCGAATTCGGATTCGATATTTTCTCGGGATGACGAACGAAAGTTTTGTGATGGTTTTGATTATATAGGACAGATAAAAGTTGTACACAAATATGCGGGTATAATGCAATAATGACACAAAAATATAGGTATTATTACGGGGTATGGCCTTTTAGATAGTGTGCGGTTCCATGTAAACAGAGTAAACGCGACAGACACAATTTCTTGAGGCCGGAGACAGCTGATATCTCTAGCTTAATAAAATTATACACACTGTCCGTCGAGTACCTACGACGCTTCTAGGAATAGGTAAGCCGTCGATCGTATAATATTATGTACCTACAACTTACAAGTATTTCATAATAGTATGTAATATGTAGGTATACCTAATTAAGTATCAAGTTAAACATGTTTTTCTGAAATATCATTATAGCGTTGTTCGAACGAAAAGATGATCAATTAACCGAAGTACATAATATATACATATTTTATAGTATTGTTATTTTGTTAAATTCTTGCAGGTGTTATATTGTGCGAATAATACGATCATAGATGTTGTGTTATTTGCAAGGTATAAAACAACATTTACT